AGGGTCCCTATTAGGGGTCCCTCCAGAAGTCCTTAGAACGAACCCGTGCCGAAATCAGCAGCAAATAAAGCAGCCTGGCAGGCTTCAGCCAGGTCACTGTGTCCGGATTCAGCCAAACTCCGCTCCTTTGCTGCTCTAGCTTCCCCACCAGAAACCTCACTCCTTAGGGTTTTGGGTTTTAATTAGGGATTAACAAACTAGGGGTTATATTGGGATAATGGAAACTAGAATGGCAACTACTGTTTAGGGTTACCATCTCCTACCTTTGAGCTGGCATGCCATCTGCACCAAGCGTCACGCGCACGTCAGCGAAAGGATGAACAAAAATCGGCTGAGGCGGCTTTCCGCCCAAAAACAGCTGGAGCAAGGCGGATGTCTGGCGTGATATGGCCTGGCGCAGGACCCATGCGGCAAGATCTTCGCCTTCGGAAGGTCCCACGCCGCCATCCAGTTCTTCAGCTTCCGGAAAATGCTTTGGCAGGATCTCTCCAGCAGCAGTGTCGACAACTATTGCACCATCAGGTGTCGCGGCCACCTTTGGTGAACACGAAACTAAAAGCAACCCACTAAAACCCCAAAATTTCAATAGGGGTTAAGGTTTAGGGTTTAGGGATGCAAGGTTAGAGGTGTAAAAAGGCCGACTTATGGAAGTCGGACCACCAGATGCTCTTGGGGCAACAACGGCTGCTGTGCCAAAGAAACCCGTAAGGCTTCGTCGTCCAGGCTGAGAGAGCCTCGGCTACGTGAGCAAAAAAAGTCTAAAGACCTAGCATCCCCCTGGATAACCCCTTCAGTAGTCCCCCTATAGAATCGCCTATATAAGCCCCTTTAAGGAGCTTAGACTACAGCTCACATGCATCCGTTCTCAAAATTATGGGCCCCTTTCCGTTATGGATAATATTACAGCACCTTCGATTTAGGGGCACCCAAATGGGACCCTGTTGTTGGAACTAAGGGTTTAGGGTTTAGGGTTGAGGGTTTAGGGTTTAGGGTTCAGGGTTTAGGGTTTAGGGTCCCTAAACTACCCACATGCTCCAAGGCTAGGGTTGGTGCCCTCGGCCCTTGCTTGCAATTTTCATGGAACCCTGGCCTTCCAACACGTACAGTCCCTTTTAAGTAGATAGAATATGGCTTTGAGTATGTTTTAATAAGATCCTCACATACCCCATATTCTATCTACTTAAGGGGGGCCTATGGCAGTGGATGTAGGAGATAGGCAAAAATATGTTATACTAGAAAGCAATGTCGGTAAGCTCGAAGATGCAAATGTCGTCATGTACGGTTTTGTGGCCTTTCAGCCATGTAAAGGGCAGGTGAAAACAGCAAGTAAAAACATGTTGGAGCTCGCCTGAATGTGCCTCCAACCGCCTCCCAATTTGCTCATTCCGCTCATTTGATAATTGCCTTCAGAAGCAAATGGGACCATGTATTCTGCTTGTAGCATCCCCCGTAATAAACCCTATAATATTCCCCTATATAATCCCCTATATAACCTTCCTCCAAGGAGTTTAGACCCTAAACCCTTAATCCTATATAATCCCCTATGTAACCCCCTTGAAGGACTTTAGACCCTAAACCCTGAATCCTACATAATCCTCTATGTAACCCCCTTTAAGGACTTTAGACCCTAAACCCTATATAATCCCCTATGTACCCCCCTTTAAGGGGTTTAGACCCTGAACCCTAAACCCGATATAATCCCCTATATAAACTTCCTTTAAGGAGGACATAGAAGCTCTCAAAGAATTGCTGGCAGTGCTCACTCTTCCAGGGCCTTTAGAGTAGCATGTTTTTTTGGTGGAACCTAGGAGGATAATATTCCGTATAGAAAATAATATACTATACCCCAAAAGGAGGATATAATCTTACTCTATATTGGGTACGATAGTATCCCCAAATAAAATACTACTCTATAGGGTTTAGGGTTTAGGGGCAGGCAAAGGACCTAGATCCAGCCAGCCATCCGCACTTTGCCGCAGAACGGTGCCATTCGACAACAAGACAGCATCCTTGGCTTGCAGCTGGGGTGTTATAGTGAACATACAAGTAATAGCAATAGTAATAGCAATAGTGGTAGGAATAATAGTAGTAACAGTAAAAGCAATAGTAATAGCAATAGCAATATAATTCTTAACAGCATCAATCCTTGTTGAAAACTTCGGCAATGTTGCCAAATTTGGCAACCTGCAGTTGTTCAAGGAAGTTGCTGGTCTGAGTGTCTATCTGTCCTTCCAGGATCTCTATGGGATATTATCCGGACCAGGGTTTATGTAGGGTTCTATGGGGCTATATTGGTCTGAGTGTCTATCTGTCCTTTCTTTGAGACAACCACTTCTCGCCACTGGTTGGTCGGCATCGTGTCCGTGCCGGCATCTGTCACATCTCCAGATTTTGTGCTGCACCATGTCCTGGAGGAAAACCACAGCAGAGACTTGCTGCTGAGATTGGTTGTGCTGAAGTATCTGTTGCATGGCTATACCCAAGATGTAAGAGTTCAGGCAAGCTTCCATGCGAAATCTACATCCTGTCCATCGAAGGATGTGAATCCCACGAGCACCTCCATCAAAGGCTTTGAGAGAACACCAGGTTTCATACCGACGAAGAGCATGTGTTAACTTTCTTACTTGAACTCGACTTGCCAACTCCCCACCAAGCCTCGGTGGAACCGTCCGAAGCTCGAAGCAAGGGCAGGCCCGAACGCCCTGCCCGACACTTGAAAGGCTGCTTTGCGGGAGCAGAAAGGGTGCTTGGATTCAGCTTGCCACAGCTCGAAAACGCTGGATCAAATCAGAGGAAGAAAAAAGAGAGTTTCCGTCGGATGGGGAATAAGGTGGGATTGGGCAGCAGCTGTTGAGGGGCGAAAGCTATAGCTGCATGGTGCCAAAAAAGTCGCACATGCTGCACCACGCAGAATACTTTCTCATGCATTCCCAAATCGAGACAAAACAAAAACATCTAGACAAAGCGCATGACTACATTCACACTCTCAGCGCGTGGCCTAGCGGCACGAAGAAGCTTGCCTAGTGGAAGGCTTAGGGTGTTTCAAACATAGAGTGAAATCAGGAATATATGGTGATGGCAAGGAGATTATGGGATCTCCTTTAAGTTTCCATAGGTATCAATTTTCTATAGGTATCATTTTGGGATGAGAAGCTCTCACTTATTGCTCACACTCCCAGCAGAATCAGGTGGCCTCTCTGTCGGGCAACTTGATCAGCGTGGCCTGCGCCCAAAATCCTGGGTCCCCCTTCCACCGCCTCTAGTATGCCCCTTATTATCCCAACCTAGGGAGGGGAGGAGTAGTACAGGGCGGATAGCAGGAGGATCCATGACAAAAGGCCAAATGCAGGCGAATTTCTGGCAGGAACGACATGGACATGGTTTTGTTTTTGGGGGGGTCTAGGGTTTAGGGTTCGGGGTTTAGGGTTCAGGGTTTAGCAGGTCAGATGGCCTTACCCTGTCGAAGATCAGCAATCCACCCATAGAATCGGCCGCTCGGACCCTGACGATCAGGAAGCCAAAGGGTTAGCAAGTTGTGCTTGTTCGGTTTCGGGTGTAGGGTTTGGGGGTGTCCAAAAAGGGGGGGGGGTCCCTCCTTGCCAGTCCCCAAAGCAAGGATTAACCATAGAAATATTGTGGTCCATCTAGGAGCCCCTCATTTGCGAAAATCCCCATATCTGCATCAGTCCCTTGATTCAGAGCATTCAGAGTGCTATCTTTGTCTTCCTTGCGCGGCCTTCACTGCTAGCACCCCTTCAGGGTGCAAAGGGAACCACGGCACATTCGCCTCGCTGCCATCGAAACAGGCTCTCTTTCCCAGACCCCCTAAAGGATCCAAAAAATGGAACCCCCTAAAAGTCCCCTAGTTTCCCTAATGTAGTACTGGGTTCATATTGGGGGGGGGTTCCATTTTTTGGATCCTTTAGGGGGTCTGGGTTGGGCTCTAGCGTCTTCTGGGCCATTGATCACCAGGAGATGGCAGCAATAGGGATGCAGTTCTAACCCCCCCAGCTTGTCGCAACTAGTGAGGAGCTAGGGAAGCAGCAGCACCCTGTGAAACCTCTTCCGCTTCAAAACAAGGCCGCGCTCTTCCTGCGCGCTGCCTCAGGCATACGTAAAGATCACAAGCTCCTGGCAATGGGCTGCTGGCATTGGAGAGCAAGAGCTGGGTAGCTGAGCTGTGCCTGTGGGTATAATGATACTAATTAGAATAACAGTAATAGTAACGAAGGTACTAATAGTACTTATAGTCATAGCATGGCAATTACAACAATGACAAAAGCTAGTAATAAGCAGAGTCCACAAGATCTGAAGCCTAGGACCCATGCTTCACTGTCCTTGTCCCCAGGATCTGAAACCGCGTTGAAAAGGTGCTTGGAGTCCGACTGGCTTCCTGGAAGCTTGCTTGCATGGCCTATCAAGACATGGGTGGTTGTCAAAATTATGGTCCCTTTTTGGGTACCCTAAATATTAGGCGCCGTACTATAATAGGGATCCAAAAAGGGACCATAATTTTGATAACCACCCATATAACCCAATATAATAGTTTCCATTTTCTTTTCCATTCTCCCCCATACAACCCCAATATAACCCTAATATTACCCTAACGGGCACCATAATTTTGACAACCACCCACATTTTCCCTCCAACGTGCAGAAGAGCGGCCGTTAACTGCCACAATGCGGTCACCTGTTTTGATGGCACCGGGGCGATCCTTGAGGCACAGCCACAAACGCACGCAAGTTGATGAGAGCTTCCACAGACCGCTACTTGAGATGTCTCCTTGTTGTAGGATGGAATTTGGCCGTCCTCCTTCACTTCGCTGACCTAAAGGGGTAGCAGCTCCAGCAGGACCGTAAAAGCAATTGCTATAATTACTATGATTACTATTATTACTATTATTTCTATTATTACTATGATTACTATTTTTACTATTA